GTGCCAGGGCCATGGGGCGGGCTGAGCGGTCTAGCGCCTGCGATGCCTACGCTCAGGCGTCTGCGAGACGCGGCCAGGGGGGCGATTGCGGCGCGTACTTGTCCGCAGGGGGTGTGTGTCCTTGGTTTTCGGAGTCTGAAATGAGTGTGTGTGCGCGCGCGTGTTCAGAGGGTGGGGAGGGGTCGTACGTGTCCGCAGTGCGTGCCCGGTCGCGGCGTGGCATCGCGGGCCGTGGCTGCGGTGCTGGTGGCTCGCGCCGGGCGGTCTCTGTCTTGCCCGCGCGTGCCTCCGGGTTAGGAGTGTGTGTGAAAAAGGAGGGGTGGGGGGGTGCGTCTGCACCACCATTTGTGTGTCGGGAGAGTGTGTAATTGTGTCTATAGAGCTGAGCTAATATTTGGCCTTGGCTTTTGGGGGGTGTCCTTGCACATGGTAGGGGTACTGAGCAGATTCCGGATTGACTAGGGGTAGTCGTGATAAAATAGTCAACTTTGTCCGGTGGGTGTGGTCCCTGAGGCTGATTGGGCCCAGGGGTGGGGGCTGGGGGTGGCCAGGGGAGTGTGGCTCCCCCAAACCCGAGGCCTGGAGTCGGCTGGGGGAGGAGGTAGAAAACCAGTTGCTTTCGTGAACGTGTCCAACACTCGCTCTCAGGATGGGACGCGTGTCACTCAGTCCTGCCTCACCCCTACTGGGGCAGATCAGGGAAGTGTTGACCAGGTCTGCAAGGCCTCCTTCAGCCCCCTAACTCTCTGCGGGGTGGAGAGGGGGGTGGGTAAGAGTCAGAGTTGTCCTCGCTGGAGAAAGGGGTGGGGTTGGGGTGACGGCGAACCGAGTGCCTATGCCTAGGGCTCCTTCCACCCCAGCTCTCTCGCTTTCTGTGCTGAGTGCGTTTGGGGGCGGCCCATGGGGAAGGTGGGTGGTATGGCTGGGGAGGGGGATGGGCTGCCCGCTTTGTTCGCCTAGTTCTTGCCTTCCCTGCGGAGGGGGAGCTGAGGATGTGTCCGGGGCTAGTCGGGGAGGGACTTGGAGGTGGGGGTGGGGAGGGGGATTTCTCTCCAGCTGCTGCGGCTTTCCAGAGAGACTCAGCCAGGCCACGTGGGAGGGAGGCAAGGACGGTGGAGGGGGAAAGGAGCCTCCGCCAGGCCGGCCCCAGGCCCATCACCAGGAAACCCAAGCAGCGGGTGGGAAAGTGTCAGGAAGCACTCGGACCTCTTCCCTCCCTACAAAGACACGCCCCTTTCCAGACCTAACTGCGGACCCGGCTGGAGGCCGCCTGGGGGCAGGGTCCTGGCAGCTCGGCTAGGGGAGTAGGGGGCCTGAGGTCGTCAGGTGGAGGGGGCGGGGAGGTGCCAGAGAGGCGTCTGTCCTCCCGGAGGCCAGGGGATTAAGGAGTAGTTGTGCCCACCCTCCTCTGCTCTTCTAAGAGCTCCGGGATCACGTTCGGGTCACCCAGCAAAGCGGAATCGTGGCTGGGAACTGCACTCGCTGGAGCATTCTGGAATACCGGTGGTGGGGCCTCCTGCGAGGGGCTCCGTTTGCCTCGGTGATCTGGCCTCCTCCTGCTCCCCAGTGTACAAGGCAGGGGCAGGGCTCGAGCTGGGGCTCCCGTGGCAGCAGTGTGCATGGCTGAAGCAAGTATGATGGCCCTCGGCCCCACACCCTTTGAGTGTGCAAAGGTCATCAGTTCTGGGGGAAACTAGAGAGTTTTGACTAAGCCACCCTGATCTGGATGGAGGTCGTTTATTCATTCATTCAACAAATATTTACTGAGTACCCCTTTTGGCTAGCATGTGACTGGTGCCTGGAATACAGTAAACAAGGAGAAGACTGACATGTGGTCCAGAAAGGTCAGGAAAGTGTTCCTCCAGAAAGTGATGAATAACAGAGCTCAATGCAGAGGGTCAGTTAGCCCTGCAGGAGAGTGATGATGGGGAGAGTTTTCTGCAGAGAACAGCATGTGCAGACACTCAGAGGTGACTTAGTTCAGACCACTGAATGAAGCTAACTCTGGCTGGAGTTTAAGGCACGAGGCACATGGGTGGGGCAGGTTGGGGAGGAATGGGACAGGGGCCACGGAATGTCAAGAGAGAAGGCTTCAGATGGGGGCTGGACCCAACTCACGAAGGGCCTTGTAAGCTTCACCAAGACTTCTGGCCTGAGAGCACCCACGAGCCCTTAGAGAATGTTAAGATCAGCTTTGTATCTGCTCACTCCAGCCAGTCTGGAAAATGATCGAGCAGGCTGGAGGCGGAAGCTGCAGCTTCTTGGGAGGCTGTGATAGTAATGAAGAAGAGGGGATGGTGGCACCTGAAGTAGTGGCAGTTGGGATGACCAGAGTAGCTGGATGCTAGAGATATTTAGGAAGTAGAATCAGTAGGACTTGAGAATAGACTGAGTTTATAGGGAGTGAGGGAGAGAGAAGTCAAAACCAATAGGCACTGCAGCAGCCTCAGCATGGCAAAATGAAGGACTGGTGTCAGAGTCAAGACAGTGACTGCCTGTCTCTCCTGAACACTGTTCGTAGATCAGGGCTTGGGAACTGGGGAGATGTTGTATGGAAATGGAGCTCGATCTGGGGTTGTGTGGGATGCCAAGTTCTTTGTTTTTACCACAGGCAAGAAGTGGGGCTCTCCCTTCCACCCAGTCAGAATTTCAGGGGGTGGTGATGCCAGAGGTCAGTAACACAGGGGCTCCAAGAACAGAAGAGCCACTTTCTCCTCACCAGGAAACTCCCCGCCCCCAGCCCGTCAATCAGGATCAGAAGCCAACCTCAGTCAATCGGGGTGTTGGGATGGCCCTCTCTGACCTCATCTTAGAGGTTAGGAACCAGGTCAAACATCTGGATAAGATTTTTCTTAATAGTGAATCTTCTCTGGAAGTTATCTAAACCTTCATTGATCCTGGATGTATTTTCATTGTCCAGTTATATATAGTATGTGTAAA